TACAGTGCGTAGATGGGTTTGCTATCGCACAATTTACTCAATTCATCGGAACGAACGGGGGAATTGGATCGAGGCCAAGTGGCCACTTTGTTCTCTATCCCCTAATCTGAGAATTTAATCCACGAGTTAATTAGCATATCGAATCCTTCTAGCGAATCGAACGGTGCGTCCTTTCGAAGGCACTGAGATGGTCCGACTCTAGATAGAAAGATTCCTCCCACTGCCCTCTGCATCTAGCCGCCATTGAAATTCATGTGGGAGACCATGTAGGCTTTCAAATGCTGCTACTTTTGTGAAGGGATTTAAGCGTGAGGCTCAGTCCCAAATCGGACCCGTTAAGCGTTCGGGACCTTCTTTGACGTCTCCATCTGTACCGACTACTATTCTCCAAATGATCAGCCCTTGCTACATTTATTTTTGTTCTTTGAAAAAAGCGACCCGACGAATATGAGTTTCAGCAATTTCGCAGAAGTAACTGGATTTCTCGTCGTCATAGTGCAACGGCGACGAGGTAATTTCTGGGTCAGTGAAACCGTCCGGAAATTAGCCGTTAGGGAGGTGTGGTTGCGTATGAAATTACTCGGTGACACTCACCTCTCGGTGACTCGAGGACGTTCGCTTTCTCGATGACAGCCGTTCGAACGAAAGGAAAAATACGAAGGCCAAGTATCGCCACCACCATTGTCCACGTGGGCATCGTGTATGGTGAGTGGACACGGTGATGGAGGGCGTCTGAAATGTTCTGGGTGTTGAGTCATACCTCAGAAAGAGTAGAAAGCCGGCGCTCAGAGATCTTGTGGCCCTTCAGTAGTCAAGATTCAGTAGAATATTGGAGGAATTCAAAGAATGTCTGAATAAAAGGATGATTCATGAAAACAGGTCAATGGCAGATCAAAGTCATTCAGAGCAGGAGGAATACGCCGATGAGGCGTACGATGGTGGGCTAGGGGAATCTATGCTTTCAGGGAACGTCCAATGGAGTGGGCAGTCAAGATTTTGCAGTCAGTAGTGGATCATTCCAATTACTTGCTTAATCACTCGTAACGCCAAAAGAACGCCAGTGAGAATGGTCAGATTTCTCATTGCCACCTCTGTGAATAGGTTATAAGCTGATACGGTAGTAAGCCCCACCCTAAAATCCTTCTACGACTGCATTCAGAGTCGTGTCGGACTCAGAAGGAAGGTACGCCTTTTCTGATGGACTGACCACATGTCCAATCGCTCCTGACTAGACAGTAATTTTTCTTCAAAGGATGACCTTCTTGGAAAACATTTGCTCACCGGACAGGGACGACTTAGGATTTGGTCCAGTCAACTAAAAAGAATCGCTCTACCCTATTTTAGCAGAGGAAGGAGGCGTTACGCCAGTCTACCCGAGGAAGAGAATGTTATTAAGCTTTGCAAGACGAGGAGTGTCGCTATTCTATCAGAAAGAAGGGAAAATTCAAGGACCATGCAATTAATTTTCAAAACACGGAGTGATTCACTGCTCCATATCTGTACCACATTGAGATTCTATCTAAAAAAAAGGCCAACGTCCCTTATCTCTCGACTGAGAGAGCATAGTGCAAGCTGTAGGCGGGTCATGTCTGTTTAGGGTAATTGGATTCTATCCACGTATTGCTTGTTGATTCTCAGAGTTCATTTCTTGTTAATGAAAGTTCTCTAGTTTTCAAAAGATATGTTGAATAAATCTAGAAACAGTTAATCAACCGTTGATCGATGAGACCCCCAAGGTGGTACAAAGCTTGTGCTACAAAGTACTGATCCAAATAAGTGGGTCTACCTTGAGTAGAGGTGTAGTGATAAAGGACACCCTATCACGCGCATGGTCCAAAAATCGAATCCCCCGTTGGTCCTTTCTAGTCATTCTAACCTTGCTGGCTCAGCTTGTTGGAAACATGCCTTTCTGATAGAGTGGGAGCACCGAATTTATCGGCTGACCACCGAATTAATTGGCCAGTTGTTTTATATGCCAAATAGGCCAAATACGCATCGAAAACGCCACTACGATTCTGAATGGAAATGAAACATGGGCCGCTTCCCAGAATGGGATTGGACGATGCCAAGAATCCCTACCATTGCCAGATTTTGAGAAAGTAGTTCCGGCTGACCCAATATGTTTGCTTGAGCTCGACTGTGTAATATGGGTAAAGGAGTCGAGTCTGGTCAGCTCTAATCGGGCACATTTGGACTACGGGAAGCAGTAATAATTCGGCTCTTTAAATAAGAAAAACGTAAACTCGTACCAAAGAAAGGTGACAACTGCAGATCTTGGCCAACTCAGATGGAATGCATAATATTTACTGTACGGTTCTTGGAACGGATGTATTCCATTTTCCAGTTCGACGAACGTGACTTTCCTTCAAATCTCATAACATTCTGTCACCTGTGGAGATCTCAGAATAACCTCATATCAAGCTAATGTCTACTGAAACGGCTAGATAACCAGCAGACTTCCTTTGTTGTTTATCATTTACGCCTTCGAAATTGATGAAAATCCATCGATTGACATTTCGACAAAATCGCTTTGATTTCGTAGGCTGCAATGCCACGAACATTCTCGAGACCACTACCGATTGATTCCATATCAAAAGGTTTAGGAGTTGGAAGTCGCAAGAGAGGGCGAAAAACCTACAGCCTGACAAAGATAGAGCTCTCTTCGGTACCCTAAGTTGTGAGTTTCCCATGGTACTACTTAAGATCATGAAATCGTTGACGTTGGGTCACAACCACAGGCGTGATCCGGAATTCGACTCCTGGATCAAGAAGTCGAGCTAATTTCCCATTCCTTCTAGGTGACAGTCCGTTGGTTGGCGTCTAGGGATTCATTTTGGAATGAAGTACCCAGTACTGAATCCCCAATCAACTGTGTCGTTACGATATTTGGTCGTAAGTGCACTGTACATGTGGCGGTAAATCTCGACGTCTAGCTAATGAACAAAAAATTCGCGCCAGAGCAGCTTCGAAGCTCGTTTCTTTCAAAAAAAACGGAAGCAATCGAACCGTTTAATCTGCTCCTTTTGAGCAGTGCTGGCGCAACTATCTACGAATCGTCAGAAACGTTCGGCATGATACTCGCTCAGGGCAGTGAAGTCTTCTTATTCCTACGTGATCAGTTAGTGACGGATTCGTCTAAGAGAATATAATCGATGTCTTTCCTTTGTGTTGGCCATTGCAAGCCACACGGTCCAAACATGGTCCAACAACGCTGCTACTATTCTAAATGGAAGACGATTGAGGGCCCATTCCGAGATGGAATTGATCGGCGCTCAAAAAATTTGCTTTAATTTATCTCCTCCCTATTGGCAGTATAAGAAAAACGAGGGATTTTGCATGGACCTGATCCAAAACTGATATTTTGGGCATGTCTACGGTGTACCTCTAAATTGATGCTAGTATTATAAATAAGGCTCAGGTGGTGTTGTACCCCTTTGTCTCTATCACACCCATGACATAGTTTGAGGATCAAACCCCGGAATGCTATCCGCCCAGGCTAACCAAGCTTGCTATCCCTTCAGGGTTAACCAAGCTTGCTATCCCTTCAGGGTAGACTGATTGGTTTCAAACTCGTCTGGGAGGATAAAGTCACTGACTTGTACACCGGTTGGCAACTACAAGTCATTATGTAGGCCATATACGCAATCGAAACACCACTGGGAATCTGATGGTAGTCAAGGGCAGGGCGCATCCCAAAGTGAAAATAATTACCACCGAAAAAGTTTCTTTTTAAGCTTGCAATATAAAGTATAAAGTCTTAGTTTTAGATTGCAATATAGAAGAAACAAACGAACGTTATAATTGAATTGCGGAAAACCAGGAGTAGAAAACAGTACGGACTGCATAAATAGAACAGAAAAGAAAATAAGCTTTTGACTAATCCATGTGGGGGAAACAGCCCAATCGATAAATTTTGAAAATTTGAAGTGTCCTCTGGTGGGAGGCGCGACAAAATTGAAACATGGACAGACCGGAACAAGATCGAAAGTGAGGAGGAAACGATCTCGGCTAATTGCCCGCGCCACCGACTGAATCATCGGGTTGCGTGAATCGCAGAACAGAAGACGAAGAAATGGAGCAGAAGAACAATCCCGAACAAACGGCGATAGCCACCTACTGTGCAGAGGCAGTTTTCGAATAAGGTCTATTGGAATTTATTCGATCGGAAAAAACTTTCATTCATAGCCTCCTTTGATAGAAAAGGTGTGAACCGAATCGTTCCCCATTCATCACCTCATTTTCGGGAGGCCGCAAGGAGGAGCGGAATTATGGGCGCGTTGATGTGAATGGGTTTTCCGGTCAGTTAGTACATATCTCAAGCGTCCGAAATTCGTTTAAGGTCGAACACCAGCTGGTAAGAGGGCAAGTATGGCGAAAAATAGCTTCTGATGGAATGATCCACTTCATGTCATATTCTGCGGCTGAGGAGGTCTCTTCCACGAAAGGCCTTAAGCTGAATGTTTCGTGATTTGCAGAAAGCACCATTTCGGAACAGATCTGAAGAGTGCAGCTTCTGTAAGATAATGCTCGGACGCTACCTTC